GACGATTAGCAAGTTAACGGACCATTTGCGAGCCAATGTTTAGACGAAATAATGGGACTATTTCCGAAATGGACGACTTTCAGGCCAGACGATTATTGAGGGACCACTGTATATGTATGTATATATATTTTATAGGGAGGTACCACCTCTAAAACTGTCCTGGGGACCCTCATCTCATCCTCAGAGAAAAGAATAAACTTGCTTTAGGGAAAACTCAAGGTTCTCCCTGAAGCTTTTTGAAAATTTTCTACTACCACCCCCTATATATTCTACATATGCTTCATTTAAAAACAAGATACATTGACAAAAGTACAACATGGAGTAAAGCAACAGTGATAACCCAGAGCTACATCTTGAATACTTCGTCCAGTTCCCTGGCAGTGGGCCGTGTGCCCAGAATGCTGCAAGTATTTCCTCTCTGGATCGCGACACTGAGTCTCTGAAAGAGGAAGCTGGTCGCCCTGTGGTCCTTGGTTTCTACTTTGAGTTTTTCACCCAGCTCTTTGAGGAACTTTAGAGCACACTTGCCCCATGCTCCAAGGTTCTCCGACCCTATTGGGATGAAGTTATAGCAAGGGGTAAGGTCTTCATATTTGCGGGTCTTCTGGGTCTCCCTGTGGCTGGCAGCTCCACCCCCTTCAGCTACGGAGTATGTTAAGTAGGTGTCTGTCAATGTGGCGGCACAGGTGTAGTCCCAGACAATCTGCTTCTATCCTTCCAGGGTAGCATAGTGGCTCCATCAGGACGCTTTTGACTTCCGTCAGACCTTTGCACTTGGGGTTCCCGTTGAGCTGGGCAATGGGCTGTGGCGAGGCTTCTTTTTGTGATGTCATTGACCTCCTTGTGTCTGGCATACTTCCCTTCTGATGTGTGATACATGAGACCATGAAGTCTGAATTGATCAGCCGTCGCCCTGCCGCAAATACACCTAAGTTCGGTGAGGATGGGGGCGGCTAGGCAAAGAGCTACACCAATCCAAATGGCCTGTGGGTCGAGTCGAGTGTCCAGGGAGGAATTGGGAACAGCTAGAAGGAAATCTCCTGAGTGTGGTGCCTTCACTGCTAGGAGACAAGCTTTGTCCTTTCCTGAAGTGTTGGTGAGCATTGTGTTGTCGCTTTTTTCCATGATCGGTTTGTTCCAGTGGAACTGTTTGTGCTCTTTGGGAGGAGCTGGTATACTGGAGAAGCCTGCAAGGGTGTCCCACCGCATTGTTGCTTCAGTAAACCTGGGGTCTTGAGCTCCTCCAAGGGTGCTCCCAAGAGGGTACTGTTGGACGGAGTGGTAGTAGAGACTTCCAGGAGGATTCTTCGCATGGCATTGATTATTTCCTGGTTCGCTGTAATGATTTCACACTTGGAGGGATTGAGGATGAGTCCCAAGTCTTCTCCTTGTGTTTTCACCAGTTGTAGGTTCTCTAACAGGGACTCTTCAGTACCTGCCAGAGTGCAGGTACCAGATGTTGAGCTTGCTGCATAGGCTGGAAGTTGGTTCTCTTACTGCCAAGCAGAAGAGAAGTGGAGCGAGTGGGTCAACTTGCTGCACACCCTCTGATGAGAGAATTTCCTGTTCTCCAAACAAAAGAATTGAGGGTTTGCTGTAGCCAGCTGAAATGAAGGAAAAAAGACTGAGGAACTGATCCCAAATGGCCGGCAAGACAACATGTCTCTTCCATATTTATTTATTTATTTACTTTATGCATGTACGTGCATGGGTAGTGTGATGTAAGTAGAAGTAGCAAGATATTCCTGGTATCCCACATGTTTGAGACACAGACACCAGCAATCCTACCATCATGTAAAAAAATTACAGGTTTGTTTCACACCCGCTTGGCAGGATGGTGGTAACTCCCTGGGTGATTGCTGTCTACCAATCTACTACACCTACCATCCGACTTACGACCGAGTTCGGTTCCGAGAAACCGGTCGTAAGTCGATTATTATTATTATTATTATTATTATTATAATCAAGGGGAAGCACTAAACCCGTAGGATTATACAGCGCCCAGGGGGGGGATGTGGAAGGCATTCAGGCTTAATTCGGGGAACTGGAGCACAGATCCAATTCCCTAAATCAAGAGCCCCTCACCAACATCAAGGAACCTTCCATGAGGGGTCATAAGTCGAAATGGACATAAGTCGAACTTTACTACTGAATATCACATAACATTTTTGTAATGACTTTATTTTATTGTTTTATTTTGGTATTTCATGTTTTACTTTACTTTTTATGTGTTAGTACTGTATTTTATACTGTAAGGTTTAGGATAAACACTGTGTACAACACAAACACTTGTTTATTTCCCAGAAATTTGGCATAAAAAACACGGTCGTAAGTCGAGTCGTCATAAGTCGAGCAGGTCGTAAGTCGGATGGTAGGTGTACCTAGATTATCTGGTGAATTTTTCCCTATGGCACTGAAACTGCTAAGAGATGTTACAGATGCGCAGTTGTACCCAGAGGTCATTGCATGAAGCAAAAAAAATAGTTTTCCTTATCAGGAATGAATTGAGATGGCTACATTAATTTCTTAACTTTCTTATAGAGCATTTGTTGTGAGATCAATAAATTAAAAAAAAAAAGTATTCATTACTGGGGTAGTGTAAAAAAAAAAGTGCACTTCCCCATTGTCCTGGTGTGAAAAACCATATTTAAACTTTTCTTTGTTTAACCCTTTCAGGGTCCGTCCCGTAGATCTACGGCTTTACGTTCAGGGTCCAAACCGTAGATCTACGCCATGAGCTCAGCTCACTCTGATAAACTGTGAGTGGTACATTTGGGCCTAGATATGAGAGAATACATCTATGTGGTATGTGTGCACCACATAAAACAGATCCTGCAGCACACTGTGTATAATGAGAGAAAAAAAATGAAATCATGATTTTTCGATTAAAACAGCAACTTTGCAGTGTTTTTTTCGTATGTTTTTTATAGTTGTATTTGCGATTTCTTGGTCTCATTTGATAGAATGGAAGACATATTACAGAAATAGAGATGATTTTGATTGGTTTTAGCACTGGAAATGGCTTGAAACTGAGCTCAAAGTAGCAGAAATGTTAAATTTTTGCCAATATTCAAGAGTAAACAAACAACCTCACACGTCTAATACACGTCAGCTGGTGGGTCTAATATACATTCACAAATATGGTGATGATATTTATACAATTATTACAGTATTGCATAACAGTAAATCTTCTATTTTTTGGTGTGAATAAAAATTCATTATGTGAATAAAAAATCAAAATGGAATTTATTTGTAAAGCCTCAAAACATAACTAATGAACAGAGGAAATGTTAGTTTAGTGCCAGGAATGCCTACATTGTTCATTCTGGACCCTATTTTGAAATTGGAATATTTTGAACTTTGTGTTAAATTGGCCAAATTAACAATTTCCGATCACTTTATTTTGTAGTTGAAACAGTTGACTTGGCGATTTCTTGTGCTCAATCGATAGAATAGAAGTAATAATAGTGAAATAGCTAAGAATTTGGTTGATTGGAATAATGTAATTGGCCTAAAATGGGAGTCAAAGTCGGCAAAATCGCCGATTCGTAAATATCACTGACACATCAAAATTCGCGAGAGCATAATTTCGTCAATTTTCCACCAAATTTCGTACTTTTTGTTTTATTACCTTCACAAAAAGATTCTCTACGATTTCATAAGAAAAAATAACAAATTTTTTTTTTGAAAATTCTTGGACACTGGTGCGTGACTCCAGATTTGGGCCTTGGACCCTGAAAGGGTTAATTGCAATATTGCTATTCAGTTTACATTTAACCCTTTCACTGTTGGCGTCATATTAGTATGGCTCACAAGCCAGTGTTGGTGCCGTATTAATAAGCCAAAATTCTAGTGGCTTCAAATCTAGTGGGAGAAAGCTGGTAGACCTACATGTAAGAGAATGGGTCTGCGTGGTCAGTGTGCACAGTATAAAAAAATCCTGCAACCGTGCATAATGAGGGAAAAAAAAAAAGAACTCCGACCATGTTTTTGGTTTAAAATACTGAATTAGAGGTGTATTTTTGTATGGTATTTATGGTTGTATTCTCATTTTCTTGGTATTATTTGACAGAATGGAAGATATATTACAGAAATAGATGTTTTGATTTGTTTCACAATGAAAAGTACCTTGCAGTTGAGCTCAAAGTAGAGGAAATGTTTAATGTTTGCTGATGTTCAAGAGTAAACAAATGATGTCACCGTCCAATATGTGTCCAGCTGGCTAGTCTAATACGCAGTCATGAATGGGTTGACATTATTTATACAATTATTGCAATAATACAGTAGTATGCATAACAAATCTATTTTTTTGTGTGACTAAAAATTCAAAACGGAAAGCAAGAGTAATATAAGAAGGGCCTGGAGATGTGACTAATGAACAGAGGAAATGCTATTTTAGTGCCAGGAATGTGTACATTGTTTATTCTGGACCCTATTTTAAAATTGGCATCTTTTGAATTTTGTTTGAAATTGGCCAAATTGCCAATTTCTGACCACTTTATTGGGTAGTTGAAATTGGTAAATGGGTGTTTTTTTAATTGATAGCACAAATGGAGTTCTAGTGAAATAGCTGTGAGTTTGGTTGACTGGAACAATGGAATTGGCTGAAAATAGGGCTCAAAGTGGGCGAAATTGCCGAAGACTGCTAACTTTGTGAGAGCGTAATTCCTTAAGTTTTCCATGAAATTTCATACCTTTGGTGTCATTACCATCGGAAAAAGATTCTCTATCATTTCTTCAGAAAATGTATTTTTTTTTATTTTGAGAATTCTTCAACATTGAGAGCAAGTTTGTGAGCAGGGGTCTGGACAGTGAAAGGGTTAACATTTTATTATAACTCTTATGTATTACAATTCTTCATTGAGTTGCCTTTCTTGGAAGGAGATACCTGTCAAGGTAAAAAAAAAATGATTCTGATAATGAAATATTAATCTAAATTATTTTCACTTGTCAAAGTGTAGCAATGTTTAATGAATATAATCTTTTATTTTTCTCTGTAGGTTCGCGAATTTTCAGTTACAGATGTTCAACCTTATAGCATTCGTCTTGTGTGGCAAGATGAATCAGGACAGGAAGGAGATATGGAGGTCTTTCCTAAGAATCATCAGGTAAGATTTCATTGTGGAATCTCTTGAGATTGTACCAATCCTCTTGTAGATTGCCAACAAATAATGGAAGGAGTGGGATCTGAATCTTTGGCCAGCCAATCCTAAAACTCCCAGGCCAGTATACTAGCCACTGGGCCATGCTGACCTCATGGAATTTATCCAGCTAGATACAGTGGAACCTCGGTATGCGACCTTAATTCATTCCAGAAGGCTGTTGGAGTGCTGCTCTGTATGAGTATCAAACAAGTTCTTCCCAACCAATTTTCTGTTTGGTTGGCTGTTATCACTAATTGTTGTAGGCCCCATGGTGACTTACTTGTACAAATATTGCAAAAAAAAGCGCCAAAAAGTGCTAAGAAACATTAAATAGTTTACAGCGAAGTTCTGGCAGTCATATTTGTTTGGTTGAATGGTGAGCTTTGTTCGAGTAGGGAGCTGGTTGTATACCGAGGTTCCACTATATGTGTATTTCTATACAGATATACTTAGTTGGATGAATCTTGTAAGCCAGCATGGTTCAGTGGATAACACACTGTTCTGCTAGCTTTAGATTGACTTGCCATGGGTTCAAACCCCATCCATTCAATGATCTTTCCCAGATTAATTTACTATTATCTGGAGTTCATAAACCTTGGTGTCTTAGTAGACTTGGTTATTAGAATGACAGTGTCATTGCTTACATTTAACACAGCCCTTTTTTGCAATCTGCAATCTTGAAATTGTATTCTTTTCTTATGATTCTGTTAGGTCATTTTCTAGAAGTGCTAAGTCCTGTGCCAGGCCTTCTGGTTGAATGCTTGATCAGTCAGCCTGTTTTTGCTAGTACCACACAGTCCAGTGCAAGCATCAGAACTTGGCTGATTAGGAACTACCTGGAGGAACTTAAGTTCCTCATAGAAGAAAGTTAAGGGTTTTGGAAGTAATTGTGGTGTCCATATCTTGAGCCAGTCTGATATTTTCCACATAGTGTTTATGATGTACTAGAATTGTTTTTTCTATTGGGAACTTTATTGGTTCCCTGTGGTTTAGGTGATTGAATTGATAAGGTAAGTGGATGCTTCTGCTCTGCAATTTTGTTTACCTTAACGAGGCTGTTAGTGTACAAAATTATTCCAGTTTTAGAGTGTAAGTGATCTAAGAGTATCATTAGTTTTGCATTTCTTATTTTGAAAATAATTATCCAGACTGATTTTTTTCATATTCCAGTAAATAATGACAAAATTTGCAAATGACTTTTTTTTTTGGGGGGGGGGGGAGATGAATGTGAGAATGTATTTGTGATTGGAGATGTGGAAGATGACTTTTGATGTTGACTAATAATAGTATCATAACATTGGGTCTAGCAGTTTCAAACAAGAACGTGAAATGTCTGGAGACAAAGGACCTGTGAGTACACTAAATGTCCATAAGCAGTGAAGCCAAAAAATGTTAGGTTTCATAAGTAGTAATTTATTTGCATAAAATACTAGAAACAGTGTTGACAACACACTTGTGAGAGAACATCTTCAATAGGCTATACAGTTTTGGTCTCCAAATTTTATAAAAGTCAAATAAAGAAAGGATTCTCCCAAGCTTGTACCATTACTAAGAAAAATATCATATGATTAAAAACTCAAAGCACTTGCATTCTTGTTTAGGAAGGTTAAATAAAGAGCTTATTCCAACATAACCAGATTTCATAAAAAAAAGAAAAATTACTGTAATTCAATTGTAAAATGAGTGTAACCAGAAATGGAGAGATACTAAAGGTTAATAGTGCCCAAACATGATGACTTTACCTCTGTTACCACCTGTCTGGTACTGAACTAAGCATACCTCATCTGCTTCTGTCCTGGCCACTGCCAGACTGACAGGAATAAAACGCGCTCGCTTACAGGGAATATTACACGTCCGCTTTCTGTACACTACATGGAAAATGACATTGTATATGGGCATTATTTTATATAAATATTACTGTAGCACACTGCATTAAAAGGTGCAGTATAGACGTTTGGAAAAAAATTACAAAGGGTATAGAACACTGGATTAACTGCCCAATAAAGCTTTAAGTGCAAAAGTAATATAGTCAAGCATTGAACAAGAACATTACAAATATTGAATTAAACTAGATATTGTGCAAGGGGGCTGACTGCAGATGATGAAACTGTGGCATTTGTTGTGGAACCACATCAGGATGACCATTTGACAAAGCAGCCATCACATAATAGTAATAGTGATGTATGTATATCTGAGAGTATGTTGAATACTTTCATTTGTGCTACATTTTGCTCAGGGTTAAGCTACACACACCTCTACTCTGACCAAAACAACCACATTAAAAGCTTTGTGTGCATATTGTTTGTGCAGCCGTATTTGTCATCATTATGCCTGGGTAGTGATAGTTGTAGTAATTGTTGCAATAAAAACCACTCGGATTTAACCTTTAACCCTTTCAGTGGCCATCATGTAGAACTGTCACTGAGGCCAGGGTCCTTCACATAGTATTATGTTGTGAGCTTTGCTCACTAACATAAACTGTCAGTGGTAAATTTTGTCATAGATATGGGAGAATGGGTTTGCATGGTGAGTGCACATAGTCTAAAAAGAAAATTCTTGTTCCATGTGTTTTATGATAGTCAAAGTTTTGCTTTTCCCATGTGTTTGGTTTAATATATTGACTGAGGTGTTTTTTAGGATGGTTTTATTGGCTGTTTCTTGGTATTTTCTAATAGAATGGGAGATGAGCTATTCTATTGATATAGTTGATTTTGACAAGAAGTAGCTTAAAATTGGCCTGTAAATTAGAAGAAATTTTAGATTTATACATATTTTTCCCGAGGACAGTCAAGGCCTCCCTACACCCCTGGTCTGTTAATAGGTCTGATTGAGTTATTGGGATGCTATAAACCATGACCAGTGATTCCTGTTAGATGACGCACAAAATTGTAATGACACGATTGCAAACAAACCATACCACGGATGGGGTTTGAACCCGCGGTAAGGGTCTCAAAACTCAAAACGAGACGGTCTGGAGTTTTGAGACTCTTACATCGCGATTCTCAAACCCCATCCGTGGTATAGTTTATTCCTGTTAGAGTATGTAGGAGAGAGGGAGATTATTTCCCAGTAAAAGTAGGCCTTAGACAAGGATGTGTGATGTCACCATGGTTGTTCAATATATTTATAGATGGCATTGTAAGAGAAGTGAATGAGAGGGTTTTGGCAAGGGGTGTGGAGTTAAAAGATAAAGAATCAAACACAAAGTGGGAGTTGTCACAGTTGCTCTTTGCTGATGACACTGTGCTTTTGGGAGATTCTGAAGAGAAGTTGCAGAGGTTGGTGGATGAATTTGGTAGGGTATGTAAAAGAAGAAAATTAAAAGTGAATACATGTATAGGAAAGAGTAAGGTTATGAGGATAAAAAGATTAAGTGACGAAAGACTGGATATCAGATTGGAGGGAGATAGTATGGAGGAGGTGAATGTATTCTGATATTTAGGAGTGGATGTGTCAGCAGATGTGTCTATGAAGGATGAGGTGAATCATAGAATTGATAAGGGGAAAAGGGTGAGTGGTGCACTTTGGAGTCTGTAGAGACAAAGAACTTTGTCCGTGGAAGCAAAGAGGGGAATGTATGAGAGTATAGTTGTACCAACACTCTTGTATGGGTGTGAAGCATGGGTGATGAATGTTGCAACGAGGAGGAGGCTGGAGGCAGTGGAGATGTCATGTCTGAGAGTAATGTGTGGTGTGAATATAATGCAGAGAATTTGTAGTTTGGAAATTAGGAGAAGTGTGGGATTACAACTATTATCCAGAAGGCTGAGGAGGGATTGTTGAGGTGGTTCGGACATGTAGAGAGAATGGAACAAAACAGAATGACTTCGAGAGTGTATAAATCTGTAGTGGAGGGAAGGTGGGGTAGGGGTTGGCATAGGAAGAGTTGGAGGAGGGGGTAAAGGAGGTTTTGTGTGCAAGGGGCTTGGACTTCCAGCAAGCATGCGTGAGCGTATTTGATGGGAGTGAATGGAGACAAATGATTTTTAATACTTGACATGCTGTTGGAGTGTGAGCAAAGTAACATTTATGAAGGGATTCAGGGAAACCGGCAGGCCAGACTTGAGTCCTGGAGATGGGAAGTACAGTGTCTGCACTCTGAAGGAAGGGCGTTAATGTTGCAGTTTTATAACTGTAGTGTAAAGCACCCCTCTGGCAAGGCAGTGATGGAGTGAATGATGAAAGTTTTTCTTTTTCGGGCCACCCTGCCTTGGTGGGAATCGGCTGATGTGTTAAAAAAATAAAAAAAAATATCCGGGAAATAATAAATCTGTTGTGTGATTATAAATTCGAAATGGACAGCATGTGTAAGAGAGGAGAGGCCTGGGGACGTGACTAATGAACAGAGGAAATGTTATTTCAATGCCAGGAATATCTACATTGTTTATTTCTCTCTATTTTTAAATTGGCATATTTTAAATTTGTGTAAAATTGGCCAAATTACCAAAGTTTTGAACATTTTGTAGGGTAGTTGTAATACAGTAGACCGTTATATTACACAAGATTTATTTGCCACGTTTTTGGTTATTGCGCTATTGAAAAATGGCGGCACAATTTTGTACAACACTTCGGAACATTAACTTTATGTGGTTCCATTTGTGGGTGTGGAAAAAGTTTCCCCAGCTCAAACTGCCGCCCTGCTGTGGGTCAGTGGATAGACCTCCGGTCATCCCCTGCCACCCCCGACACTCCCGCCACCACCATCCCAGCCTTAGTGAATATGCGTTCAGTTCCATTCTGTCTTAGGAGCTAGCTGTGTTTGTGAATTGTTTTGATGTTTTAATTACCATACGTGTATCTTGTATCTGCCAAGCAATCATGGGACCCAGTAGGCCTACCATTGTTGTTGAAAGTGGCAAGAAAAGGTGTAAGCATTTAAGTCTTAGAGTTAATGAAGAAAATAGAGATATTAGACAAGAGATAACCTCTGGCCATAATGAAGCGTCACTGTGCAGTTAAAAAGA